GATGTCTTCCAAAAAAATTTATGACATCTGAAGATTTTGAACATTTGGATTAACTGAATTTTGGCCATTTCAACAGACACTTTTTGCGCCACACATCAATTACGTTCCCATAACCGAACAGGGAAAATTCGCATCACTAGATCGAATCAATTCATATATATTGTCTATATAACACGCTTCAATTATCGATTCATGTTACTTTCAACCAATGAAATGACCAATGAGGAGAGAGTCGATAAAAAAAATGAAGAAAACATCCAATTTTCTTTTCAAAACTGATGAAAACTAACAAGGTTTGCGGAAAATTAATACCAGTTTGACATTTCAAATGTGAAAAGTGGATACTTAGAGAACTGGACTTAAAAAAATCCACTGGACTTTAAAAAATGCAGGACAAAGGATATACACAGTGAAGATAATTGTATTCACGGCATCGAATAATAGCTTTAAGGGCAAAATGAATAATTGTAGAACGTTGCGGCTGGCCGACCACCAATTTACCATTTTTGAGGAGCTTCACCAAATTTTAGCGGAGAAAACGAAATCGAGTCCAGCGAAAAGAGAGCAATTTCTATTATGATTAATAAACGTATCGCAGCGGAAGATAAATCGACAAATGGCACTCCATAGAATTTAAAATTCATAGAACACAAAAAACCAATACTTTTCCTTAACAAACTATGTTTGCGGAGAAGTAAAAGCGAACGACTATTCAATCAGAATGATCATTACTTGTATCACCGTATTTCCATTGGGTGGCAGCATCAAGAAAATTCAAATTGTCGCACTGTTTAGTTCGGCCAAAAATTCCGAAATTTCATTGATTTGCCTATTGAAATTGAGGGCGCTCGCGTCGCTACAGTTGTCATTTAAGTTGTTTTCGGTCTTGCTGCCATCCGATGCGTATTTCGCCACTATTTTAATTATTATTTGAACTTCAATTTTTTTTACCTGCGTAAACTCATTTAGAATCATTTTTCTAGTCTTTCTTATTTTTCTATTTCGTTTTCTTTCTTCTTCTCCTCCTCCTCCTCCTCATTTTCCTCCCTTCCTCCTTCAAAATCACGTCAAAATTGCTCTTGTGAATGCAAATCCAATTAGAATTTTATCTTTTTTAAAGAATTCATCACATCATTTTATGCGGGTGTTATCTAAATTGAAAATTGCCACAAGAATGATTCGACATCGACGATAAAGCTGATGATAATAATTGAGTGTGACTTAATTTCATGTTGCATGCAATGCAATGCCATCGTCAAATCAAGTAATCGGTTTGTGTCGTATCGAAAATGTAATTTTCTCTCGACTTGAAACCAGCATGAATCAACGAAAATGATGTTTGAACATTTTCGATGTAAATTATAGCGGATAAAAATTGCTTCTCTCCGCTGTTCATGTTCTAAGCATCGGATTGCTTTTCTTAACTCGTTCATAATTCCATTTTCGCGTCTTTATTTGGATTTTAAGCCGAAAAATCTTTTTCGCATTTTTATCCAAAGTGAAATGTGTGAGAATGGCACACGAAAAAATTATGACACGCTTCGATAAAAAAAAGAGCAACGCTGAAAAGGAAGTAGAGGGAATTGTTCCATCAATTAAGAACCGAAATGTGTTAAATCGTTTGAGTGCAAAACAATGTTATGACGTTCAAATTATTCCAAACGAAAGACGAAGAACAAGAAGTGGAATTGGTTGGGTGTGTGTGTGTGTGCGTTGTCTGAAATGCGTGATGAATTGTAACCTTCAAAACGAAATGAAAAACAATTTTTACACTCCGATCATAAACTATGAAGATCGGGTTCGAAATCGAGTGTAGATTTAAAATTGATCAAAGCCAACAACAACAATAACAACCACGACGACGATGATACTAAATGAGCAAAGAGAGAGAAAAAAGAATCAACTCAGCATCGAATCTGATGCGAATAACAAAAGACAATTCTTCAGCGCATATTTTGTAATTCTTCGGCTATTTTTATTACAACATTTCTTGTTGTTGCCATTTTTATTGGGCTTTTTCTTTATTTATTTATTTAGTGCCTTGTGTGTGCGTCTTTTTTCTGCTCTCTTTCTCTTTCTCTCTCTTTCTTTCTCATTTCAGTCGATTTCAGATGTGAGGAGTTCTTTTTTGCACTTGTGCGAAAGAGACGAAGATGGTGAGAGAGAAAGAGCTGGAGCAAGATAAAGGAGAGCGGACCAGCGGTGAATCAGTGTATGTGTGTGCAGCAGGTAACGCATTTGTTCGTTTTGGTATTTTACGATGATCGTGCATGTATGAATTTTTTTCTTCTTTCGGTTTTCGTTTTCTGTTCCATCGTTCGTTTCTGATTTTGTTTCATTTCAGCCAGAGAGAGAGAGAGAGAGAGAATAGATATATAGAAAACAGAAAACGGCCGAGGAAGTCTGCCCGATGCAACAACGCTGTGTCTATAAATTCAATCGGTGGTGGTGTTTGAGGCCAAGACGACGACGGCGATGATGATGATAAAATATAAACAAAAAGACGAATCTTTCGTTAGGTAACGATTCAGATCCTTTTGCACACTTTTCCATCGTTCGACAACGCTGCGCTCTCCGCGCCATCGAACGTTTTTCTACGTTCGTTGCTGTCGTTTTGTTGTTGCGCATTTTTTTTTTCGTATTGAGACAACATCAAATCTTTTGAATACATTTGGTGCATCGAAAAAGGATCGAATCAAGTCGCACACTACCAAACACTGCGTTCACACTTTCAATGGGAGCGTGCGCGCAGGCGCGCGTAGCCCAACGCGATGTACATGATTACAAATCGCAAACGATCACCTCATCACATTGTCCATTGCTTCATATTTCGGTTTTCGCCTTTTTTTCTCTTCTTCAGTTTCTATTTCGGTTTCGCAGTCATCCATTTCGACCGGCGAAAAACCCAAAAGAGACTTGCCTTTTTTCCCCACAGATCATTCACATGATTACTTTCGTTATCGCTCATACATTTTCTACTAAATGAAGTTCATAAAGTCATTTAACGATGATTGTTTTATATTCGATCCAAATGATGATTGCTTTAGCATTTCAAACAGCGAACATGATCCGATGCTTTTAAACGATCATATTATACGCTTGAATCGTCTTCATTTGTAGCACTTTTTTGTGAAATAATCTTCATTCTTTTTTCTTCTGTTGGGTTGAAATTTTGACTCTGCTTTTTTCAATCGATTCATTCTTTTTTTCATTTTGAATTAGCAAATAGCATTTTCGTTTAAATAAATCGATGAAATAGAATTGATTAAATACAATTGAATCGAACAATTGAAGTCGTTAAGATGAAGTCAGCATAAAAGAGTGGAAAAAAGCAACGTCTTCAAAATGAAGACAACAATAAAAGAAGACATCTTCAGCGCAATAGAAAAAAACGTATTCAGAAAATGCAATTTCTTGGCGATCAACTTTTAATGAGAAAATCCAATTGAAGTGATAAGAAATAATATAGAAATAAGAATTAAATTAACTCAAAAAGCGTGTTTTTCTAGATATACATCAAATTTGGAAGATATTCTCAGATTTTGTCCCATCATCATTTCACGTCGTTCACGACAGTTTTTATTCATTTTCAAATGAAATCAAAATGGCATGTTAGCACGTTGTCACGTTTTATCTAAAAATTAGAAGAAAAAAAAGAACAGTATGACGTATTCCTGGGCATATTAAGATCAAATTTTGAGCATTCTTCGTCATATCTTTCAATTATTTTCTGCAATGACAGCATTTTTCTTGGCACTTTTCTAAGCATTTTTCAATTAATTCAAGGAAACTGGTTTACTCATCAAAACATCAAGACACATTACCTTCCATTGAACTTTGTGTTTGCAGAAAAAATAGTGTTCGAAAATTGATTTTCTGATTCATTTATTAAAAGTATTTTAAAATTATATTTTTTATGTGGATCCACATCGATAAATTGAAACATTGATAATCGCAAAGAAGTCGGTGAATCGATAAGATAACAAATAAAAATGAGAACTGATGAAAACTTAAAAATTGATGCAAATTTGAAAAGGAACAACTAAAAAGGTCAAATGGTCAGGATTTGTTTGTTGTATGAATGAAATTTGATGGTGAAACATGCCGAAAAAAACCCTGATCATCATGATAATAATGAGGCTTCGTGTGTTAAATTTCATATGGTTCGTAGCTGTTGGATTTGGATGGGTTCGCACTCTAAAAACGCACATATATATACTTCGAATGTTCACAATAGACAGAGGTCATAAATTTACCTGGGACGTTCAGCATGCGCATCATCATCAGCATAGAATGGGTTCGCAGTCAAATGAGAAATATCCCGATCGCATTCGATCCCGATTGCATGCGCGTTTTTACACACTCATCATCGCATTGGTGTTTGTGCGGATGGTGTGTATCTCTCTTGTGTGCATATATCGTTTTTTTTTCTCCTGTCTGTTGCTATTTACGCGAACACACTCGACGAAGAGGAACGAAAAAAGAGCTCGTGTACACATATATCGCCGAGTGGCATAGGCACCGATAGGTAACAATGGTCTACATAGAATCTCAACGATGATCATACATCGAGTACGACGAACCGCAATCATGATGTAGAGAAAGAGTCGAAAACACACAGACATGCGCGCATGCTGACGCGCGCACGCGGCTCTTCGAGCGTAGGAAAAAGAAGAAGAAAAAAAAACATTTTTTTTTTCTTATTTTCAGGGAAAAAAGGCAAATAAAAAAAACGAAACAAACCTACAATACAATAACAATCGATCGGAATGAAGAGGAATATAGAAAAAAAACACACACACACATACGCTTCGGAAAATAAACGAATTGGTGAATATGGAAGAAGACAGTAGTGATGATGATGACGATGATGAAGAAGACAACAGCGGTGGCGGTGGCGGCGGCACAACGCGGCAGCCACGGTGACTAGGCCCGTGAGCCCCGACTATTGATGATGATATGGTTTGTTCGTGGTGTACGATGGTGGGGGCAAGACATTTTTAAAGCAAAATAACTAATGAAATGGAAGCATTTTGTTCGGTGAACTTGACTTTGAAACTACGATCATTGTCAATTGTTTAGTATTCTCTTGAGCTCACAACCGATCGAACGCGAATTGAAAATATCTTCTCTTCACTTGCTTCAACGTTTTTTTTTTCTTCTACCTACCCAACGAATATATAGAGAAAAAAAACACGCGAAACGTTTTGTTTTGGATTTCTGGTGAAGTGGCCGTTCGATTGAATTTTTTTTTATTCTTCAAATAGAATAACAGAAAAAGATTCCGAAAAGTGCGCAAATTAAATAAAACGGTGAATTTTGGATTTCCGCTTGTTGGTCTTTTTGATTTAAACTGATCAAAAAGTTAGAACAACGTCTTCCGAAGGATTTGATTTGTGATTATTGTGATCAAAACAGATTTTTTTTTGTTTAAACCATCTTGTGATAAGATCGTTAAAATCGTTTGTTTTTTTTTAAAGAGATAAAAATAAATCGTGATCAAAAGTTCCTCGTGACATTTCGAGGAATCATCCGAAACCACATTATCGAATAGCCGCCGAATCGTTTTTTCCGTCTTCTTTGTAGACCGCCCGCCCCCCACAAACACTTTTCAAGATGAAAATCGTAATCCTTTTGAGTTTATTCTGTGCATTAGCAACAGGTTGGTAAAATGTATTTGATTGCCCTTATTTTGTTTCTTTTTTTTCGATGATTTTTTTTTATACGATCCGCAGACGGAGTTTCTCTCGCAAGAAAATAATCTTCCGAGAAATAGACTTTTTTTGTGGACATTTATATACACACATACACATGAAAAGAATAGATGCGGGTCGTAAAATTTGACTTGTATATATGGTAGACAAAATTTTTTTTTTCTGTTGTCTCTTCATTCGCTTGAATTGAAGCTATTTATTTATAGAAAACACAACATAACACGATACAATGTAAAGAGGAAATAGATGTTAAAATAGGAACAACGAACGACCAATGATTGCGGCAACGCAATATGTGTTGCACAAACACCGATAAAAAAATAGAGTGAGCGAGAGAGAGAGAGAGAGAGAGGGATAGAAACCTATTAAAAATTTCAATGTTTCGTTGACTCAACCGACGACGACAATTGTTCTGTTTAATTTTCCGAATGGTTTTTTTTTCTTCTTCTTCTTTTTCTTGTGTGTGCATTAGGATACAGGTGTATGTTATGCACTTTGGACATTTTATCTTTCGATTGCAATGGAACGAGAACTGTTTCTAAGTGAAACATACACAACTCTCAATTGTTTAACACCTCTTTCACTCTCATATCACATGGTTTCTCATCAGAAACATGCACTGGAATGAGACATTAAATTTTTATACTACTAGAAAAATACTACCTAGAAAATATAGTTTTAAGTTGCTGAATTCCATTAGGGAAGAAATTAACCGTTTTAAGACAAAATTCTAACTTTTGGAAACGAAAGTGCACAATTTGATGGCGAAAATTCGTCTTTGGAATCGAAAATGCGCATTTTGACGATGGGAATTCGTCATTTGAAGAAGGAAATTCGCCTTTCGCAAACTTGAATGCGTCTCTCAAGTATGCAATGCGCCTGCTGTAATAGAAAAAACATTTACGGTGAAAATAAACACGTTGAAGCGAACAAAAATACCTCTGAAATGAGTAGACAATTCTTCCTTTCATTCTAATCAGACCATTAAAATGAATTGTGTGTGCAGGTGGTAATGGGATCTGAGTAGCATTACAAGTGCCATGGTCATATCACTCTAAATCGCCATTTAGATGAGAATTACAAGCAAAATCAAGTGGATGAAACTACATTCAGAGCCATTAAATAGAACACAAATTAAACATTTGACTAAATCAAATGAAATCAAAGCCATTAAGGCTTATCTGATGTATCAGTTCGAGCATGTTTTAAAGAAGGATATAAATCAGAGTCTGATGATTAAACAAGATAGAGGGCCGCAATTTGAGACTTTGATTTTTTTTTATTTTCCATAATAAAAGACAAATTTCATCGAAATGTGCCAGTTATATGAGCAGTGGAGATGCAGTTAATTAAAAAGTAGAACTTATCGAAAGGTCAAGTTTTATTTCATTTCAAGGGATAAAATATACTAAAAATAACTTAACCACTCGATTCTTTTTGGTGAAAATTCTTGTCCTTTCGAATAGAGAATTCGATGAGAACTCATTCGAAAGCGAAAAAGATGAGGAAGATTTCATTCGGGGATAGCCTTTCAGGCTATTAACAAATTCCATTTGTTCACATGACAACAAGAATGTCGGTCTTTCACTGTAAATTGAGTCAACTAAGTGGCGATTTAGAGTCATTGTCCTTTTCTACAGGAGAATTTTTCTGTGTTTGTCATTTTCTGAGGGAGAATTTGCAGGAGTTAAACTTTAATCATTGATGAATTTAGTGAACAGCTGAATTTAATTTGCAACACCCACTTGGTGCGGTCGTTGTATTGCCTCCTTGAGTTCCTTGAGTAGACGGAATTCAACTATGAAAATGCTCAGAAATTCGCGGTTTTTTCTTCTCTTTCGAAAAAATGCGCCTCGAACTGTACTTTAGACTTCTTTGCCCAAATCGAATTGTTATTAAATTTATTAATATTCTTCATCAAACACAATGGCACCGGCATGACTCATTGGCCCGGTTTGTTCGGAATTGTGAATTGCAATAAATTTTCAACACACACACGACGGTGGCGACGACAACGACGACGACGATGGCAGTCGGAACCGAATAACGACATCATTAATGCAAAAATATGCTAACAATCTGTTTCCGGTGGTGACAGTTTCTGTTGGTAAAATCAGAAAAACGTTCTTCGTCAATAATTTACCCACATGCAATTTGAACACACCGTGTCCCCGAAAACGGAATTGACTAGCGGAAAGACTTGAAAAATTGCGTTTCGATGTGTCTGACGAATGAAAAAGAAAATTATAAAATCTCGAAGCGTTTGATTGTGTTGAAATTGGTTCTGGAGACAATGACTAACTAACACTTCGATTGTGCCAACAATGCTGGCCAAACAGTGATGTAAATTATTTTTTATTGATGAGCCGCTGCCAAATCAGAACATAATAAACTGGCTGCAATAATAATAATTCATCATATTTTTTCCTCGTTACATCATCGTTTGTCGAACACGATCTCGGTTTGCGTCATTGTTGCTGCATCAAAGCAATTAGAAACGTTTGGCAAAGACAGAGAGAGAGAGAGAGAGAGAGAGAGAGAGAGAGAGAGAGAGAGAGA